TCAACTCAAACAGAAAATCGCCGTGTAATTCTCTTCGGACTTCGGCACAATTTACAACCAATACAAATATTCACTGAATGCCATTGCACATGGAACGATTGCAGGGTGTTTAAAGACTATTTCTAAGTGATACCGAAGATTCCAAGCCGGACATATTTCCGTAGAGGACGAGCACCGTGAAGGTCGACTAAAATCTTCCACTGATGACGACACTCACGCTCTGGTGAAGTTCAAAATCGACGGTACCCACGATTGACTCAAGATTGCTAATGAATTGGGCTTGAATGCCATGACTGTATCGCGAATATTAAGTAATCATCTGGGATACACGCAGAAATCTGCTCGATGGGTACCAAAAATTTTAAATGAGGCCCAAAAAGTGGCTCGAATGCATTTTGCTCAATTTTTTCTAAATAAATTCGAAAATTGTCAGTCTAGCCATTTAAAATCTTGGCTCTATAAATACGATCCAGAAACCAATAGGGGATAATTCAGCGGTTAATACTGAACTTGATGAAAAAGAAAGATTTTGAAGACTGTTTTCAGAAGTGGATCTTTAGGCTTAAGAAATGCATTGAAATCAAGGGCAATTAAGTAGAGAAGATAAAAAGGACAAAGAATACGAATACATACAAATTTTTTTTTCTGGTCAACTAACCGAACTTGTGTTAATCCCCTCGTATATATAATATTATATATATATTTATATATGTATAGATGTGTGGGTGTAGCCATAAATGTCTATGCTCGAGTGTAATTTTTTTTAGTAAATACATTTGCGAGCATCAACGGATATGGTGGTAATATCTTTCAGATCATTTCAAAGAAAATAACACCATAAAAGCCTATTTTTAACAAGTAGTTTTGTCGAAAGTGCAGTTAGAACGCATTGCGTGCGGCGTAGAGCCACGGAACTTGTAAAACATAGCCGGTATTTGATGTATTGTACATACATATTATATATATATACGAATAATGTGAATGTCTGTTTACTTCTGTGCATTTGGCTTTATGCTAATCGACAGTGGTGACTAATAAATACCTCACTCAAAGTAAAAATATCAAATAAAGCGCGATTCCTTCTACTCAGCGAAAGTATGCCATACCACAGACTTGTCTCGGGGTATCCATTTTGCGGTTCCAAAAATATAAGTGAATAAATTGCATTTAAAACACGATCTTCCACGTAGCTCCCCAACTAAAACGTCCCACGGTCTAAAATCGCATTATATCGGTGGTCAATTGACATCGCTAAGACTAGAAATTATACGGCCAAGAAATTTATTTCACAATAAAGTCATATACGCTCGCCTTGTGTGGCATGCGACACCATCTTGTTGAAACCACTTTTTTTCTATGTCGTGTTGTTCCATTGTAGGCCAAACAAATCATTTATCTTACGATCATAACGCTCCGAATTGATAGTGACAGTCTCGCTACTGTCGATTGCAAAGAAGTAAGGTCCAATCACACCTTCGGACCAAAGAGCGTCCGAGGCAGTAAGGTTTTTGTGAATGTAAAGGCTTTACTTCATCTATTTGATGATTTTCGGATCCCTAAAGTGGTGGTTAATGTCTAGCGAGGACTCATTGCATGCAAAACATACGTTACGTATGTTGGGTTCAAGTCTGTTGTACCAGTATTACGTGGGGCTCTCAAGGCCGTTCAAGCTCTTCTGCTGTATAAGGTGTTGGTTTGACTCCGAGAACGTTATTCCCTGTAAGAGAGTTCATTAAGGTATTAACGGACTCTCGGTGAATGGTGTTTAATACCTTTTGGTAAGCCGTCCTGCTCAGCGAGTGTTGTAGGTGGTGTTGAATGCAGTCCTTAAGGTTAAGTCATCTTTTTCTGAGGTGCCTGGGTGGTGGTTCAACTTCTTGTGAGGAATTTCTTGGATATTAAAGAAGTAACCCATAGCATAGATGCTTCACTGAGGAAGTGATGCTCTGGTGACATCAGAATGTTCCCACGGACACGGCCCTGAGGGCTCAGTTTTGGCAGGCTTGTAGCTTCCTCATCTGCGTCTCGTTAGTTCCCGACGCCCAGATCAGTGCAGCATATTTTACGACTCGTCGGTCAATTGTCTTGTAGGTTACCAGCAATGACAGCGGAATTGACACGTATTTTGTCCGGTCAAGGGCTGCCCCCCTCTCGACAACCTAACTCCGTTAAGACCAGCAGGTAACATTAGTCTAAGTAAAGACTCTTTTATCACTCAGACTTGGATCGTATGGAAAGGCGAATGTAAATGATTGTCTTAAGTTATTATAATTGATTACGTAGAGATTTCTATAGCTTAGTTGTAAAAGTGCGGTGCTTCTCACCCGGATATTACTTGTGTAATTCAAAGCACTTTCTTCTGTGATAGACCGACCTTATTTCTTGGAATACCTTCATGCACAAGTGTACATATGTATTTTGGTATAAACGTTCCCATATAAATACTTAAACGGAAAAAAGTACCAACACAAAAAGCACAGGCAGTCATATGAAAGACCGCAAGCTTCTTAAGAAAGCGGAAACGCAAAGTAAGCTGTTAGGTTGGGCGGTTGGGCGGGTGTCTAGTTGGCATGAAAACAATTTTGCGTTTCATTCGAATGTGGCCATTGAACTTTTCCCGCACACACTTTACAGCCAAACGCTTTACTTTATTTTTGATTTGTTACTGTTCGCGGTCCACCCCCACTAATCACCACCACGCCACCGCGCCACCACACTACTACATCTAACTAATCTGCTTCGTTCAACTCATACGCCTTGTGGAAATATGGCCATAAGCATGATGACGAACGGCGCAAGAGAAACTAAAATAAATGAAAAATCAGAACAACCGAGTCTGTTTATAAGGAGGTGGTTTGGTAGCAGGTGCTGAAATATGTACACGAGTAGGATGGGAGGTGTTGCGAAAAATTCATAGTTACATACATACATATGTATATATTTGCTTACTCAAATTGGAAATTTGACCAGAAATCTCACTAGACCACAAAGTGCCTAACCAGCACCAAACGGCTCATCACATTCTATCATTCGAATTGATTTGGTCACTAAGGAGTTGGTAACATCAACTGGTGCTGATGAAGTCATAAGCCCATAATACTGTCACATAGTAGCGGAAATTGTTGATGAAGAATAGGTAGTATGAATTTGCTTCTTGGTCTAGGAGAAAAAATGGGTCTGCGTAATTAAAAAAAGTTCTAACGAAGTAAAGATTTATGCTAGAAATAGTAGTGCAACCAGGAAGATCCTTACAAAGCTATCTACCAAATGATCCACTTAGAGGGTCTTGCCGCGTTTTGGAAAAGTTGAAGGGCAGTGTGACGAAAATCCTAAGTTATGAGTGTCATATGAAAGATAGAACAAGGTAATTAATGGTGAAGCGAATATTCGATATCGAGAACGATTGGTGACTTTTACTTAATAATCCAGTGATCGAACCCGAAGTATTTGGAAAATAATCCACAACTTGCCTTTATTAAAGATTACTATTAACTAGGAAATGTTGTAGCGAATATGCCATATGTGAGGTGACCGCCTCTATCAAAAGTTCGTTATCGAGAACATGCAAACAGAATCTTCTAGGAGTTACATGTGAGCAAACTGTAGATATAATGGAGCGAAGTGCACACTGCAGGTTCAGTTGTGTTTGGAACTCGGTAGCGACAGCATCGGGCCAATGTGGAAGGAAGCAAACTGTGTGTTTATAGATAGTTATATAGTTAGTTCAGTGTGTGTTCGCCTATAATATGATGAAAACAAACCTTGGGACTTTTATTTAACAATCCAGTGATTGAACGCGAAGGATTGCGGACCAGCACCAGCTGTCCGCTGGAAAATGTCTTCCAATTTGTTCATGTGTTCCTCAAAGCTTTTACTAATACGATGATGGCTTTTAGATACATAATATATGTTTCCAACGTAGTCCCTTGAGTACATTGTCCGTTAATCTTATAAAAGTGACAGGAACGTTGAACTCAAAGACTAAGGACTGTCTTCTCATTATTTTGCCAATAACTGTACCTAAGGTCGAGTGTTCGGAACCATTACGTGCAGTCAACGAGCCCAGGGTATCATCGATCCTTGGCATTGTGTAAATGTTTTTCTTTGTCATATCATTGAGTCTTCGCTAATTTCTCTTCTTTACAAGTACTACGGGAGAACTCCATGGACTTGCAGATGGCTCGATAATATTACTCTCACTCATAACTTATTATTTGTCAGAGCGTCATACTTGGCTAGTGGAACACTTTGAGTAGTTTTACCAGTCGGCCTAGTGTCACCGGTGTTCATCGAATGTTTCACAACGTTACTTCTGCCTAATTTATGACATCATTGTCGAGTATTAGCGGAAAAGTTGCTTGGCCTTATGCTGATATTTGCCTTCCAACCCTTCCGTCCGTACATTTTTGTCTTTCCATAGCTTCGCGCAACCATGATTGTAGTTTCTCCATTATCCTTTGCTAATTCCTTTTTCAGGGGCAGTATCGTCAAATCCTGAATTTTTCGAGTTCGATCACTGGATGGCTAAATACAAGTCCTAATATATTGTACAATTCTTTAATTGTTAGCAACTTAACAAGCGTTTATTTATTATTTTTTAAATCAAAATTAGGTTTACTATACTCGGCATATTTAATAACTTTCACATTTTTCTATGTACTTTGTAGCTGAATGGCGCTGTGTTGCGCATTCTCTTATATACCTTACCGATTACTCATTCTCAGCTCCGTAAATTTCTGTCAAGCTCTTACGATAACAGAACATTCGATACTCCCCACTTAAAGGTGAAATGTACGCGCGTATGACAACTGAAAAAACGGAGTCGATCAGATGAACACAGCTGTGAGCTCAAACCGAAAGCAGTTGCTAAGTATTCTTACCTTTTGGGTTGTACAATGGTTCATGTAAAAATTTTCAAATCAGCTGTTTTCCAGTGCATCCCTTCAACTGTAGAAAGACAATTTTGCATAGAAAACACTAAGGGCCACACTTTAAACACTATTTGACGCGTAAACATGAAAAAGAAATCAGTGAAGAATTCGCGAAAACATAATTAAATAAACAAATATTTTTGAGTTATGCATTTGAAGTAGTTTAAATAGTAATGGATTCAACAGATGTCAAAATGGATGCAAAGGTTGAGTTTGTTACTCAGAAAGTCCTTGAGATGGAGAAAAGTCAAAGCTTAGAAAAATGGAATGAGGAGCAAGAATCTGAAGAAAGTCTGCAAACAGGTAACGTTACCCAAAGCGTTGACATAACAAAGGTCGAGAGTCCAGTTCAAGAGATACTAGATGCTGTATTGCAACAAAAAGCTATTCAACTAGAGCCAATGGGTGAAACAGCTGTTATGAAGGACCATGAAATATCGAATGAATTAAGACCAATGGATACAGAAATCGCAATGGAAGCAACAGATAGTTCTTCAAATATTACCAAAAATCCGCCTGAAAGTGGCCTACAAACTCCACCTTCAACTGGTGGTTCACCAAGCTCACCATCCACGCCTAGATCACAAGTTGGTGATACCACATCATATATTGAGTGTTTGGCGCAAATTGAACGTCAACGAAAAAATTATGAACAACAGCTGGAACAAATGCGAACTGCACTGGCGCAAAAGGATAACATGATCACGTTGTACCAACGTGAAAACGCCATACTTGATAAGGAGAAGAATGCTGTAATTTAACATATTTTAAATTAATATTAAATTTTCAAATAATTTTGTTTTTACAATTTTGGTACTTTCAGTTCCGAAAAGAGAAAGAACTCGCAAATAAAGAAAAGGAATCCACGGTCATTAAGTTTGCTATGAAAGAAAAACTTTTATTGGACGCTAAAAAAGAGAAAGAAATAGTAGAAAAACAACTCGCTGATGCCAAGAAGGAAGTGAAAAATGTTACCATACGATTTCAAGCTCTTCATGAGGAGAAGTCTCGCATGTCGTATATAATCGATGAAAAGGTAAAACTTTAAGATTATGCATGTATTCTAGTTAAATTTATCATTTTCTCTATACTCAATAGTGTAATGAAGTTCGCAAGTATCAACGTGAATGTGAAAAACTTAAAACCGATTATGGTCATTTAGAATCGAAACTCAAATATCATGCCAACAAGCTGAATATTGAAATAGAATCAAGGATGGTACGTTGAAATATATTAAAAAGCCAATTGATTTGTAAATTGTATCGTAATTTTAGGCCTTGGAAAAGAAGTTGGAAGAAGAAAAAAACGCTCCCAACAAACTAGAGGAAAAAGCGAATGGTTAGTAATTTAAGTTGACTTAAAGAACTAAAATAATACTTATTTACTTATCTAATTTCAGAAAACTTAAAAATGGAATATGAGGCAAATACAATTTTGTTCAAACACGAAATCAAAAATAAAACTGATCAAATCGAACTATTAAACAAAGAGCTGAGCAAAGCGAAAGAGGAAAGTAGACTTTTGCAAGAAAAACTAAGCAACGAAATTTTGTTGGTAATAATTACAACCTTTTAATATAGTAATAAGTTTGAAAAACATTATTTGTAACTAAATTCACTCTCTGCAGAAGAACGACTTATCTTCTGCGCTAGGACAGCTCCAAGATGACCATAATTCTCTGCAAAATGCTTACAGCGAAGAAATGTTAAACTCTGCTAAATTGCGTTGCCATTTAGATGAACTGCAAGTGCTGAAAACCCAAAATACGCTGTAATTTAATCTCTGAAAGTTCAGTATCAAATCAAACAAATTTTAATTTTTTTCTCTGTTTGTTTAGAAACGAGGAAAAAATTGCTTCTCTTACGGAAGCTACGCTGGAAATGAAGGACAAGTTGCAAGATAATGAACAGGATTTACATCACCTCCATGCAAGAGAAACAGAGCTACTTAGTATTAATAAGGAAATAAGTGAATCGATTGTTTCCTTGCAAAATGAGATTTGCCTGCTGAAGGCTCAGGTTAGTAAAAAGAATTACATTTATAGGGTATAAATATTCTAATAATATTTAGAAAGTAACATTTTTATAGCTTAAATTTAAATAAAAAGTGAAATAAAATAAAATAAAAAAAAATTAATGCCCCGGGTGAGGCTCGAACTCACGACCTTAAGATTATGAGACTTACGCGCTGCCTACTGCGCCACCGAGGCTATATATATAATTTGTCAAATGACCTTGTTCTGCCAAACCTGTTTTTCAAAGTAGAATACTTCAAAGAATTGCTAAACGATAACCACAAATATTGTCCATCTTTTTTTTGCAGGTTCAAGGCGTCAGTGCTGAAAATGATATTCTTAGAAAAGAAAAATCTGAATACGATAGCAAGTACGACAAGTTGATGGATGATTTGAAAAATGAAGTTGAGAAAAAATTGGAGGAAAGACAATTACTAACAAAGCATCTTTCAGAGAAAACAAAACTCTATGAAATAACAAAAAGTAAATTAGAAAACGTTGAAGGTGATTTCGAAGCGACTAAACATAAACATGCGACTGTTATAAAGGTAAATTAGTATGCAATAATAACCATTAATTCAAAGATTTGTATGTGTGTGTCTGTTTTTTTTTTCTAAAGGAACTCCAACGTGAACTACAAAAGTACAAAAAGTCGACGGAACATTTAAGAATCACAGAAGGGCATATTTCGAGCCAATATTGCTCAAAATGCAGAAATATTATTAATAATGCCTTTGAAAGTAGCGAAGCTAGTATGCCATCTACTAATGGGTTTGAAGAAAATGGGACTGTTTCAACAGCAAAACCTCATGGCACACATAGTCGTACAAGCAGTCAAAGTAGTCTACCAAGTACAAGCCGACGGCCGAGTGAGACATCTGAGTCAGAAACTATGGCCAGTAGTGTCACAACTGTACAGCAAGAATTACAGGTAAAAACGTGTATAAAATTTCAAATAATTTTAACTGCTTCATCAAATTTATCGTATAGGGTCCTTCCAAAAAACACTTGGTTGAACGGATATTGCGACTTCAGCAGGCTTCCGCAAGACAAACAGAGAAAATTGACTTCTTAGAAAATCATACACTCTCGCTTGTTGCGGAATTACAGAAAAAGTCCAAAGTCGTCCAATACTATATGTTGCGTGATCAAGCAGGTGCACTTACCTCAACAAGAAGTGATCAAAATAAATCGGAATTGGCTAAATATGGCAATGGTGTAATGTCAGCTATATATAATGGCATTAAAGGAGATACAAAGAGTATGACATTGGATTTGTCACTCGAAATAAATAAGAAGTTACAGGCAGTGCTGGAGGACACATTGCTAAAAAATATAACATTAAAGGTAAGGAAAAGAATTAAACCAGAACGCAAGAATATTTTTCTTAAATAATCTACTTACAACTTCATTCGTTTTGTAGGAAAACCTGGATGTGTTGGGGCTGGAAGTAGATAACCTAACTAGAAAATTAAGACTAATCGAGTCCAGAGAATGACATAGACCAATGTTTTAAAGTAGGAAGACTGCGACTTATGTGGGCCACAAATCTACTAACACAATTTTTTAGTATTAACTTAGGTTAAACTTTAAATATAAAGAGAAAGCATTCCATTTTGTAAGTTAGTTTTATATACTTACCAAACATAGAAGAAAAAATATATATGTATATACATGTACAATATATGTAAAAACGTATGTAAAGAGAGTAAATAAATATATTTATGAAGAACAAAAGTATTAAAAATGCTTATAATGTTTATTTTTCTGGCATAGGACGTTCATACGAATCAAGTGTGTTTATTTTAGATTTTGAAAAACGGATGTAAGATTTTTTTCTTTGTAGTGTAAATTAAAATCATGGGAAATCAACACCAATTATTTGATTTCAATTAGTTGGCAACACTTTTGCAGTATTTGTGAGCATATGTTCGTTTCTGATCGGATCAGCTGTTTTCACAATTTCGTTTGGAATAAATTTGTTAATATTTGATAATACTTCAACTTAGATTTGTCTAAATATATCTAATTTTGAAACAATGAGTGTTGTAAAATATATTGGGCGTACAACCGATTTTCGTGGTAAGACTCTTTGGGAGCTAGTTGGAAATCTTCGAGACTTTGGTGTCGGCCGGTTGTTAATACGTAACAAGTTCCAGCGGTATGAAGAACCGTGCTACATGCGTATACTAAAAGTGGAGGTTACCCCACATGATGTGAGTACTAGAAAATAATATAATTATGAAAATGATTTAAAAAATACTTTTTTTTTACAGCCTGCCAAAGATCCGATTCGTAAAGTGGCTGTAACAGTAGAAAAGACATGGCGTGGTGTAGTTAGCCCAAAACCAGTCACTATCTACAGTACCAGCTATAAACCGGATTATGAATTAGTTCCTAAAGAAGAAGAGCAAAAATATCTTAACAACAACAAGAAAGTGTCTGGGCAGATATTAGCAAACTCTATTGATTTTCCGCCATTGCTGAGGGAATTTATTCGTCAAGAAACCGGTGTTCAAGAACCAACAATGAAAGTTCATCACAAACAAACACACAACAAATTAGTGCGATTAGCTAAGGATGGTGAAAAACCGACTATCGAGTGCACAATGGGTTTAGGAAGACCAGCAAGTCCTAAGCTGTACGAAAATGTCTTATAAAATGTTTTTAATAATTATATTTTATTTTCAAAATCCTTCTCAGTTATTTCTGTTATATTGTCGAATAGGATTTCGGATATAGATAATGGTAATCAAGTTTGGTTGTATATAATTCTCAATACCTTCCTTCGGACTGTTCAATATAAAACCTCTCCTTGAAATATATTACTGTTATCCCTTCAGTTCTCTCAAAGGTCACTTACATAAGTATAGTAGCATACTCACTTTAATGAACGTCGTGTAAGTAATAACTCATCTTATAAGCTGGCATAACTTCAAAAGTATTCAAATTAAACATTCCTATCCGTTTCTACATGTCCTTTTGTGTTTATTTAAAATTCAAACTTTAAAATTCGGACAAAAGACCTTTGAAAACCGCACTTCATTCCTTTTTTATTATCGTGAAAACCCGTAAATACAAGAGGAATGGTTAAAGTTAATTTTAAATATATAAAAATCCATTCAAAAAGTATTTATGTTATTTATGTATGTGAATTTAAATATACCGTAAGTAATTCTTGCATGATAGCCATAGTAAGAAATCAGCGCAATCGGGATACTTTTCCCTTGTTAAATTTTCTGTCCTTTGATGATCGGGACCATTTTCTTTTTGAATTATATCTTCTATCTGCTGCTTTGGATCCTCCCGTAGCGGCTGATTTTAAACCAATTTGTCTCTCCAACTCCAATTGGTTAGCAGTATCGGGATGCATCCCTTGTTGTATCATTTTATCTATTCTTTGCTTTTGTTCCTCTGTGAAGTTATCAAAATCTCTATCAGATGATCGACGGTCTCGATGTCTTTTCGAATCATTTCCGCGGGTATTTTTTTCCAAAGATTGACTTGTTGGTTTTTCACATTCTGCTTTTCCCTCTTCACTTTCTTCATTTACATCTTCAGAATCAGTTAATTCATCACTTTGCTCTTCGTTCTCCTCTTCATCGAAATTGTCATCATATGTAATATCAGAATTTTCGGGCATATCGGCGTTTGACAAATTTCCATCTTCAGCATCCGTTTTGGCAATCATTTCCTTTTCTTTCTCTTTTGCCTCTTCCACGGACATACCTTCTGCTATCCTTTCCTTTATCCTTTTCCTTTGGGCTTGTGACCAATGCACGTAATTTTTCGCAGTCTTAGAATGTTTTATGTACTTTTCTTCCTCTTCCTTGGGAATCAATATAAAATCGGCAAGATAACTAGTACTGCAAATATTAACTGTACGAGGATGAGTAACTCCACGCCACGTTCTTTCGACTAGAACTTCAATTCTTTTATTATTGCTAATTTTTTTTTGTTTATTAGAGGGTTTAGATCCAATCTGTCAAGAAAATAATGTTAAAATATATTCGAAATCACTTTAAAAGTGGTTTACCGCTGGATTGGACAAATCCGCTTTTATTATACGCATATATGTTGGAGTCAACGGGTCATCATTTTGATGCGAGCCTCGCTTTATTAGCCGGCCAACTCCGTGATCTGGTAGCTCTTTCAATATGTCAAAGAGCGGTTTGCCCCTATAATAGGGCCTTCGGTTCCCGAATCTTCCCTTTTTCTTACCCATTCTGGATATTTTGGATAAAAACACAACAAGCTGGGTAAACTGCACATTAAGGTGCAGAACACAGAAACTTGTACATAATATAAGGACTGGGCTATGAAAACCATAATTAACGTGGCGAAATATATGCCGAAATAATTTGACAATAATGACTGGTAAATGCTGATGCTGAGTATATAGCCGCTTATACTTATATATAAGTTGCAGCATACTGCCTAATATCTGTCATAAGCTGTCGTAGATGCTGGATGTACATCTTCCGGCTACCACTTCAGGATACTCGACGTCTTTTTGAGATATTCGTGCTTACATTTCTGCTGATGCTCGCTCCGGAGTACTCCCTTGCTGCTGTACGCAGAATCGTGACCAAAACATAGTGGGCTGCTAATCTATAGTTGTAGCGCTTCCTGATCTTTTTTTTTGGTTTCACAGTTGGAACTTTTCTCTCTTAGCAATTCCCTTCATCACATCTGAGCTCTCCACTTACACTCCATTCTCTTTGTGGGCTGGACTAGTTCAGCGTGCCACCGTTTAACGTGTCTGAGCATAGGCGACAGTTTCAGCATATGTTGATTGCCATACGTGACCAGTTTTTTTTTTATACTGCAAATAAACCACTGATTTATATTCTTTCGAGGTATTTTCCAATGCTTTCTCTGTGATCCAGCTTTCAATATCCAAAGCAAACTCTTGCAGTGTCTCATTGGCCTTATACCATAGCATCTTTCCTCCTGTGCTCGCTAATAGAGCACCTTTCTACCAATTTGCAACTGTAATGAAATCTCGGCATTTTGACATGCCGACAAGTTGAATTGAAATTGCAGCTACTACCACCGTAACTAGCTAGACTACTATTTTCCCTTGTTGTCACTAACGAGTTCACTTTGTCGCAAAGTCACAGCTGTGTTGGCTACTGTCTTACATTCTTCACCGATTGCATACTAAGTTCTGGAAAGTTCTCACGATATAGAGAACATTCGGTACTGACGCTCGGATGTGCAGTTGATATTCTATTGAAATTCGTACTGGGAAAATATCTGCAAATAAGCAGCAATGAACATGTTATTGGCATCATTGTGTGATGTTATGTTTGTTATTTGCTACTACATATATGTGCTTGTAGCAGCTCAGGTTTCTTCTTTCCATTTCTGTGTGTGGTAGCACCCTTATAGCTCAACTAAGCAAAAATGTACCGACTCAGCTGGTATGACCTATCCCGTGAGAGCACCATATACATTTTGATGCCTGAAATTTAGGCTTAACTTTTACAATATTTTATCTTTATAGAGTTTGTCGTTACTTTGTGGAAAGAGCACATTCAGCTGATGGCTTTCTACAGAAAAAAATTAAATTTATTTACGTTTTGGCACGTACAAGGCGATTAGAATTCATTCACATGGAGCACTAACAAGTTTGATTGCGACATTTGATATGTCACGTCCGTTTACATTCGTGAATGTTTCTACTATTGCAGTCGGAAGATCCGAGTGGGAGGTGAGTTAGATGATTGGCTGAGCTTCTTTTTTTGGACGCGTCGTTAAAAGTTTACAAAAGGCCAGATGCCAAGCTATAAAAATGACTCAGTTCCATTGCTCCCATAGATTAATAAGCCGCCTCCGAACGGCTGATAGTTATCTATTAGGATCTTTTATTTCATGTCAGAAATACACTCGGAGGGTTTCACATTCCTTGCCGTGGGGCGATTTTGTTTTTTTGGATGTTAGTACGACACCAGGATTTGAGCCGCTGACCATAAATTGTCAAAAATCATAAAAATAAAGAAATTTTCTAGATCAAAAACTAGAATAAAAATGAAAAAACGGAGTCAAGATTCAGATTCAGCCTCATACATTTTCATGGAAATTAACTTTGGTTGCCTAGACCAAAACGATTGATATATGTATGTATGTATGCATCAAGTTCAACAATTTTATTTTGAAAGTGAAAAGAGTGCTATACTCGAATGGTTTTATTAGTTTTTGGAATCATACATAAATACCTATTTGCATTACAAAGAATACCTAACTCAACCGTTACTGTCGATGGACATCATGTGACTCATATTGTATCTCATGTCCCAGACCAGTCGTTTCGATATCGTACGACGACTCATCGGCCTCCGCACTTGGCGGATTGTTATGAGTGCTCTCATGCAATCCAATTGTGGCATGCGCTGCCGCCTTTGAGGCATTCACTTGCGCTTCGGCGGCTGATGATGCAGCTTTCAGTGTGGCCTCCTTCGTTGCCTCGTAATCGATACGCGCTTGCTTCAATTGCTCCTCCACTTGCTCTGCGCGACTTTTTGCTTGACCAACCATTGAGGATTGAGAGGCCAATTGATTTGCCACCTCACTGGATGTTTGCTCGGCCTGCTCAGCCAGGGATTTCGCATTATTCACTGCCGCTATAAGCACCGAAACATGGTGATTGGCCGATTGCGCGGTTTGTTGAGCAAGCTGCGCAGCAATCTTTGCTGATTTCAACTGTTCCAATTCACGTGATAGTGAACGTTGCGCCTCGGCTGCCTGTTGTTCCAATTCTTGGAGTATTACCTTTTTTCCAGCGAGCGCGGCTTGTGCTGTGGCTGCCGCTTGTGTAGCCGCCTGTGCTAAAGTATTTTTAGCAATGAAAGCTGCCTGCTTGGCGGCAGCGTGTTGATTAGCGACAGCAGTATATGCCTGGTTTGCTGAGCCCTGTGCTATGGAACGCAGTCCACTGCCGATGCTATAACCAGACTTGCTGCTACCGCTGCTGCTGCTGCTACTGCCGCCACCTCCACCTCCACCATGTGTATGGCCACTTGACGGCGACGGTTTGTATTCATAATAAGGACCGCTGGGCGCCTCGTGAGATGGACCAGAAGGCAAGTCGTGGGCATGAAGTGTATTACTGTTCTCATAGAAGCCATGTGCCGGTCCATGTGGTGGTCCCGCGGGCGGTTTGTAGTGGTAACCGCTTCGTTTATTGAGACGTCCAATTGTTGTGGAGCAACAGAACGCTTAAAATCATAGTTTCGGTATACGTGAGTACATAAATTAGATTCGGGTGTTTTTAAATAATAAATACTAACCCAATAGAAGAAGCGTCAGAGCCAGCGAGTTTCCCAAGTTGCACTTGATCATGTTTACTGCAAATTCAATAATGAGCATTGGAATATCCTGCTCATTGGTTTTATACACAGAAAATGGCAGGTAGATTACGGTAAGGTAATCACCTAAACTACACACACACACTCAAACATATGCACATGACGACTAATGTGATACTTCCCATAGAAAATTTCTTTCGGCTAGATATCCAATGTATGCACGTACATAAAGGGTGTTTCTTTTAGACATGCGGCTTTCAAGAAAAAAATGAAATTCGTACAATTTAATTTGATGGTCTTGAGCTTAGCATTATTATAAGGAGAAGGGTTTGCCATTTCATTTTAAAATGATTTCGGACAAGTGACTGCCGAAACTCTAGCTGAGAGGCTCAAGTTTCGACCACATTTTTCAGTAATCCGCGTCGAATGTTAGCAATGACGCGCTGAATATTATATTCCATGGCATCCATCGTCTTGAGCGACTTCATATGGTCCAGCGATGTTAAGCAGCACGATCTTGGAGGCCCCGCCACAAGTCCACTAAGTGAGATAATGCAGTCACCAAAAGTTTCCTTCAATAAAATGATTATTTAGTTGATTGTATGGCCACCTCAAAGTTGACAATAAAATGCAGAGAGATCTTAAACAAACTCTCGACTCTATCAGAAATGTCCATGGTTTGGGTCACTGTTCATAGGAACATCCCAATGAACTGCATAGCCGATGAACTGACAAGAAAGGGAACAATCTTAACCACCGTAAACTCTGCATATAACATGGGCATACCCCTTTCCTTGGCGAATATCTGTTAAGGCTAGCAGATAGCAGGGCGCTACCACATGTAATGTCGCCATTAATTAAGGTAAACAGAACTAAGTCTTTAATCCTTCCACACCGGACCTCCATAAGCATAACAACCTCATGGAGAAAGATGGGCTGGTCTGCATCTCTAATGACTTTGTCGCAGCTGTAGGGGCACAGATGAGAATGAATCGGTGGACCCCTACTTCTGTCACTGGCCAAGTCGCAATGCGGTCCGGTATCGTTTTTTTTTTAGAAAAGTCTTCTTCGATTGCATTATTAATCTACTGAATGTTATAAAACACACCAAGTGGTTTGAACATTTGGAATGTTGAAGGAAATCTTCTTAGCTGGACCAACATAAGTATCAGAACGGGCCAGTAGGTGGGCACGTAGCGCCGTCTTGTTGGAAACCAAGATCCTTCTGTAAGAGCTTCCGTAAAGCGGACTGCTGTGGATCCAATTAGTGCGCGCGATGGCGGATAGACTCATTGGTATCTTTTTCTAAACTCTTCACAGCAGCAATAGCGTCTCCGGTGCGCACTGTTTGGCGCCTTTGATGATGCGCATTCTACACTAGAATGAGCGTGGTGGGAAACCGATCCCTGGTTATTCGTATTACCGACTCTGCAGAGAGATTATGTCGAACGAATATTGAGCAGCTGTCATAAAGACCAACTTCGAAGAAGTTTCCTCTCTGAAAACCAGACATTTAAAAAAAAACACCCTTTACATACATACATACGTATGTGGAGAGTAGATTTGGTATAATAAACGACGGCGTTGGCGCTCAGTCACTTGTAACGGCCACAAAAGTATAGTATGATAATAACGGTAACTTAGTTTGTTGCTAAATTTATTAATTGACCGTTCGCTTGGTAGTTGGAGTGAATGCGGCACTGACCAAGAAATGCCCCTATGTAGATATGTATTAGTATGTAGTTGGGCTTATTACTTTGCACTCTTACTTTCGGCAAATGTACTTAGTAGAGGCGATTATTCTTTTTTACATATGTATGTATATATGTATGTATGTATTTTATATTTTCTCTACACACAATTCGGTCATTTTAGATCGCATAATGGAGCAAAATACTACATACTTTTGAGGAAGTGAAACTTTCAAATGGTATTTATCACGCTTGCTGCAGTTTAGGTATTACATGGAAGACATTCATACATATGTACAAGCATTTACATATACTCGTATGTATATATGTATGTAGCGCGTGGTGTTAGAGATAATAAAAGAAATTTAATGAGCTGTTGCATGTGGTCAGTAAACAGAATAGCAGTATAGACTATGAAGAAAGCCAATAAAAAAACGAGCTTTCCAGGAGAGCAATAAAAATCATAAAAATATGCAACAAGTCGCCATCTGCTTTACGGACTTAAGCAGTTCAGTGCATATGTTTGAACGTAGATTAAGCAAATATTAAGGTTTTTTTTGATAAATAAAAAATTTTCTTTTTTTCTTTAATTATTTCTTAATCCATCATAAAGGGTGCAGAGGCTAGAGATGAACATTGTGGAATATTTTCATGCCCGGCTGCATCAGGTGTTAATTGAATTTGATCACATAACAGTTGTGCGTTGCAGTATTTAAAGCCCAACCTTTGTTATATTATGTTGTCCCATGGAAGCTTTGACCTCCACTCTTACACCCTTATAGAAACAATTACGGGAAATCCTTTTTTTATCGCAAAAATCCGATCATCCATATCTGGTCGTACAAAAAAAGCACCTTCAAAGTTTAAGGTCAGTGAAAGTGAAACACCCGAAGGCGGTGAACTCGAATTCCCAATCAATAACGGTACAAAACATGTTCCTAAGCTCGATCATGATGAGGTCTGAATAACAATTGTCCACTTTGAGAACAACAAAGCGGCGGATAAGGTGACGAAGAATTGGCATAACATCTTTACTTTATTATTTGGTCGAATGAGGGTATGCCTGACGATTTGTACCTTAGTGTACGCTGTCTATTCCACAAAAGGAGGGACCCCACAATCTGCGCCAACTATCGTCCGATAAGCCTAGACAATTTCGCGTAGAGAGTATTGTGTGGAAGCTAAAGCCAACCGTCAACGAGCTTATTTGGTATTGCAATGAGTGCTAAAAAACCCGAAGTAAGCAACATCTAAGTTAAAATTTTAAGTTTTTTATTTGACCCACATACACACACTTCTTTGCTGCTTGAAGTATTTCCCGAAAATGTCCAGCCAAACGCAACATTTTGACTTATCGAGCGTGATTAAAGAGGCTTATCCCACTGTAATTGGCGCAGACTGTGGGATTACTCTCTGCTCAAACTTAGTTTCCAGTGGTCGGTTATGCTTTCATCTGACCACATTTTGCAAAGAGGCTGCCGCATGCACCCGATCAGTTCTTCACCGCCGTATTTGAATAGCTCGGCCGGAAATCCTTCGGTTCCCGCCGCTTTGTTGTTTTTTAAGCGAGCGATTGCTATTCAGATTTCTTCATAATCGGGTAACGTAACAACTTTTCCATCGTCATCAATTGGAGTTTCGGGTTCACCATCTCTTGGCGTTTTGTTTTCACTACCATTAAGTAGGATGGAGAAGTGTTCCTTCCATAAATGCGGTTGTTAGAACACCTCTTTGTGTTCTACTAGATTTTGCTTTGGTCTTGAAACCTTCCGTAAGTCGTCGTATAATTTCGTAGAATTTTTGAGCATTACTCTTTTCGGCCGGCTTCTCAAGTTCTTTATACTCACGCATTCCGGCATCTTTCTTCGTTTTACTGCAAATGCGTCTTACTTCTTTCTTCAGCTCTCAGTATATATTCCACCCCGCACGTGTTTTAATCGACCGCAAGTTTGTAAGGTAGGCAGTCTGTTTACTCTCAGCTGCAGTTCGACATGCCTTGTGATACCAGTTCTTTTTTTGACACTACTGAAAACCTATTGTTTCTCTAGCGGTACATATGAAGTTTGAGGTGGCCGTCCACAGTTTCCATATATTAAGTCTCTGATGAGTGCTCTCAGAAAGCAGGTGGCCTAGTCGAGTAGAAAACCGTTCGGCTGTTTGTTGTGACTGCAGCTTTTCAACGTCGAATCATCCTTGTGTTGTTGACAGGCGTTCTTTGATATACAGAGGCGCGTGCTTATCTTCGCTGCGACAAGATAGTGTGTCGAGTCGATGTTAGGATCCGGCGAAGTCGATAAGGCTTAACCCATGTAGGGTTGTTTCGTCTTGGATTCTGATTTTTTCTACAGTTGAAGATATCTTCTTTGTCGTGGCGGGAACAGTGCTCATAAATAAGTTCGAGGCGCTGTTAAAGGCATCGTGGTCACAACGTCCTTCTCATTTGTCTGAGCTTGGTTGCAAATCAGCGTACTATTATAACTGAGTAGTACTCATGTGGGACACAGAATGGTGATGTGGTGGCTGATGCCTAGAGTATTCTGACACGATGGAGGGAATCCTTTTTGGCCTGTTGAAGGTAAAACATACAGAGGTTGTGAACCCGAATTCCATAAGTCTAAATTTCGTGTGCAAAACCTCGTTTCGGACTACTGACATAAAAAAAACTCCTCAGCGCAATTGCGTCATGGATCCCACGTCATCGTTGGCTGTCATAACTTTAAAATCATAGGGGATTTTGTCTATCTTAAAACTATTTTTATAAGGAGTTTAATATTTCATATCAAAAATACACCCGGAGGGCTTGACGAGGGGCAAGCGCATTTAGAAAATTTAATTTAATTTTCTATTTAAATTAAATTTCGATACTTTTGGAGTTCGCTAGTGAGTTAGATAGTGATCCGAGTCGATGTTAGGACCATGAAACCGGCGAAGTCGGTAAGCCTTAACCCTTGCCTTGGGAATGTTTCGTAGTGGATTCTAAATATTTCGACAGTTGAGCCGAAGATACCTTCTTTGCCCACCCTGGACCTACCGTGGCGGCGACAGTGTAAATTCAGATGAGTTACTCCGACTTATTCAGCTTAAGGCTTTACTGCAGGGGTCCAGCTGCGCGAGGTCGTTGGTCTTGACGAAAGCTCGCATCGAGATTGTGGACTGTATTTGAACCCGCCTCGTAAGGAAAGGAAAAAAAAGAGCGAATTACATGAAAACATTCAATTTTGACCAAATTTGTTGGGAAGACACTTCCATCCGTCCTTTGGCGCTGCTCAGCTGGCCAATGTACAAAAAAGAACACCAGTGAGCCCCCGTATAATATTTTAGACATGGATTCTTGGCAAGTACAAGTGAAATATTTAGTAAATCTTCGCAATTTTTTTTATCATAAATAATTTTTATTTAAATTTAATAAAATTTGTGACATTTAAGTGTCGTACAATTAATTAAATACAATAATTTAAAGACGTTGAAAGCTTTCGCAGCAGCCTCCTACCGCGTACGGTGTCAAGGCGAACCAACAAATAATAATTTAGCAGAAGCATTGTGAGGTAATAATAAATACGTACACACATATATACAAAGAAAAAGGAAATCAAAATTATCAAAAACAAACAGTCGCACTGAAGAGCACTTACTCACTTACATATGTGCCTACACTTACAACACTAACAAAAATAAATAATATCATTAACATATACTCCTTTACTCGTCGCGCTCCGACGTTACTATTACGAAACGAAAAAACAAAAAATATAACGATGGCTTATCGAAAGTGAAAGTGGAACACATCTCGGTTTGGCGACTGACTGCTGTGGTAGGCTGTTGTGGTAGCCAATACAGGAGTCGTCATCGCTGGTACCGCTACTCATTTATAGTATTGCGTAATTTGGCGAATCCAGTCCAAGTAATGTGAAACGCGTACATACACGCCGGGTACGTTGGCTTGACCGCAACCGATACCCCAGGATACAACACCGACCACATTCCAAATGCCATTACGCTCACATACCAATGGACCACCACCATCACCCTTGCAAGCATCCTTGCCCTCCTCACCGCCAGCACAAACAAAGCCGGGATTCAGTTTGTAACTGTAACCGAGACGAGTTTGTCGCAGCTGTGACTCGCATTGATGATGAGACAAGATTGGTACATCGACTTCCTTAAGGATATTTTGATATTTGCCATGTTCACCGAAGGCATCCTTACCCCAACCGGTGGTCCAACAACGGGAGCCAGTAAAATCGGAGTACTTGTCTGGTAAGCAAGCTGGACTGATGTGTGGATTTTTGGTGAAGTCAACGGGATGATCAAGTTTCAGTACAGCCAAATCATTGTCCAAAGTACCGGCATAGTATTCGGGATGAATGTGTACTGAGACAACGTCACGTTCAATGTATGGGAAAAATTCGACATCGTGATTAACATCCCATTCACCGAGACGAGCGCGCAAATCAAAGCCGTTTTGTCTGTGAACGAGAAAAGAAAAGAATATGTTAAAAATCTTCTCCGAACTTTGGTCAACTAGTGGGACTTACGATTTAATACAATGAGCCGCAGTGATCACGTGTTGTGCATCGATCAATGTGGCACCGCAAGCGTAAATCGATTCCTTAGGGTCTTTCTTCAAGATGGCCACATGCCAGGGATACTCGCCGAACTCACTGTCACCATCAATGTATGATGGGTTCTTGATGCGACCAGTAATGCCAGCAGCATTGCGTGTACCACAACGTCCGAGTTGTTGTTGAGGCGCTGGACGCAATGGACGACGACAGCAGACTTCATTGACGCGGCAGGTCTTCTCAACTGGACGGTTGCCGTAGTATGCGCGCTGGGGAAAAGAGGAGTAGAGAGTTATTAGAGGAATATTGATGATTGACATTTTTCTGCCATTCAATGATATTGTCGTTGTATTCCCTACGCTTTACCTGTTCTGCTTTTACCGTACGTGCCAGTACACTCTCTCTACGTTCCGCAGACTCTTCATGATCAACCACATCGCGTCGTCGCCGATCACGTGGAAAGGTAACATAGTCACTGCCTTCTGCAGCGCCAGGCGCTTGAGCAGGTATCGGAGGTAAGTTGTGTTGATAACGTAAGCTTTTACCCCTGCGATTATCAGATTGATTTAAGTCTTGATGTTTAGGACCAGGTCCCCTAAATGCCACGCTTTGATTGGAACTGCGCTCCTCGTATGCATTGTAATGCTCGTTGGCGAAAAGTTCACCACTGTGTCCACTCGTGCCAAACCCACTTGAATAACCGCCACCATAGGTCGGTGCGGCATGGCTACTTGTGCCAAACCCAATTGGGAAAGAACCACTGAAGTGTGGTGCGCCATGGCCACTGGGCGCAAATACATTTTGCGCGGAGCTGTCAAAATGCCCAGAGCCATGACCACTTGTACCGAAGCCGCTCGATATCGAGCTACCGAAGTGTGGGGAACCACCACCGATGGCAGAAGGTCCCGCATAAATATTCGCACCAGAAGTTGTACCGAAGGATGTGTGTTGCGACGCGTAATGTTGCTGTTGATGGAGAAAACCGCTGTTAATTATTGAGCTTGCCGGTGCCGTTACAGTGCTGTGATGTTCGTATATCGGTTTACTCGCCACCACATCAATAATATGAGCGCCGGGTCCTGTGCCGCCATAGATGGGACCAGGAGCGGTAATTTCATGCGGATGTGAATGATGATCATGCTCGAAACCACTGTAATGATCGTGATGATGGTAATGTGTGTTATGAATGTACTCGGGTTTTGATTTAAACAATTCGCCGACTTTCTCAAATATATTCGCATTGGGCGTGACATGTAGATTAACCAGTGGCTTAACGACTTTGTCACCGAACTCGGTTTTGCTGACCTGTACGGATACCAAAGGATTTACATTTAAAAGACCTAGATTCAAGCCATTCGGTCCGATCGAACCGAAGTGCGGATTCGGTGCTGGATAAAAGTCGCCGTGCGGATTTGCGGGATAGCCACCACCGCCGGTGGGGTATGGCAAGCCAAACGAAACACCATATGTGGGTAGAATTTTACGCTTTATCAACTCGATGGCCGCAATATCGGGTATGCCAGTGCGCTATAGATGGTTGATGTTGTGAGGAGGACCAAGTGGAAGAGAGGAAATGAGTAACATGATAAGAAGTTTGGAAGTGGAATGTCACGTGTGAGGCTTTTGTTTGGACATGCTAGTAGGAGTGCGACTTGGAACCGAATGGAATGAATGGGTTGACAGTGCAGTTAGAAGAATGGATGTTGGATGCTTTTAGTGGGATTAGTTACATTGTAAGTGCGTCACGAAACGCAAAGAAATCGCGAAATCACAAAATTTGAGTTTGTTCACTTTCGAAAATCTTCAATCGATGTCAAATTTGTTGGTAGTTTACGCTGTGTGGTTGGCCTGTTTGTGGAAACGACGTCGTAAACGCGCGACGTGGTTTCATGAATTTGCATGTGGAACGCAGTAGAGTGATAGAGCTTTTACCTGTACTGGCGATTAGTTTGTATTAATTTTATAAATATTATTTGGATATTGGGGCACGCTATTAATTGGGTTACGGTTAACAGAACAACAAAAAGTTATAAAAAAGCAGCACTTACCCCTTCAGCATCCAGCGGCAGATCGGCTGCGGCATCATCAGACTGTTTGTCCTCGGCTGTCACCTCACGCTTGCTGCGCTTACTTTCCTTATCTTTCTCCTCTTCCTTTTTATCTTCCGTCGCGCTGAGGGTAACATTCGTAGCTGTCTCATCACCTAAAGCCTCAATATCCTTGCCTAAATTACGTGGGTCAATTGCCAAAATCAAATCCTCTTTGCGTCCGATACGATCGGCAGCAGGACACTGGTTAAATGGCACGCACTGACAGTCGACGATTTGTTGCCGCGAGGTGTCATATCCACCTTGGTACTGACCGCCCAAGTTGTTGCCGATGCCGTTATAACCAGCAGAAGTACCAATACCGCCAAAGTTTTGCAGCTCTTTCTTATAATAGTCAGGATTTTGGCTATGATAGCTACCGCTTGACTGTCCAAAGTTGCTGGATTGTCCGAAATTATTGTTCTGGCCAAAGTTGTTCGATTGGCCAAAGCCGCTTTGTCCGAAGCCACTTCCGCCAGTACCTTGTTCATAAACTCCTTGAGCGCCAACATTACCAAAACTGCCTAGACCACCAGCAGGTTTGTACAGATCGCTGGGTGGTTTTTCGTAGTTATTGAAACCACCGTTAGAAGCAGCTTGTGAGAGTAAGCCTCCCTGTGAAGCACCATTGTAGCCGGCATTAAAAGCATTAGATTCAGAGAAACCACCTTGAGTTTGTGGTGTGAACGCAGTTGAAGATTGCGCAAGTGCAGAAAAGTCAGTGTTGATCGATTGCCCAGCGCCAATTGGAATGGGTACGGTAGGCACTTTAGCACCAGGAACACCATCGGCGCCCTCTACGTGGTGGAAGTGGTGATGCACATGCTGTTGTAAGCCACCGGCTGGTGCTGACACTGGTATAGCATTCAAGTTGCCGACGACAACCTTCGAAGAAGAAGCTGAGGAGGCAGACGATGATTGGTGAGCGTAGAAATTCGATTGGCTTGAGCCGGCAGCTTGGATTTTATCAAGTGCTGGATTTTCGAAAGCATACGGTGGTGGTGGTGCAGCGTCCGAGTTACCATTAAAGACGGGACCAGGTGGTTTGCTGCCGTAAATGATAGCGCCAGGTGGTGGTTTGTTGAATGTACTCGGCCCAGTGCCGCCAATTGCTGATGGTGGTGGATTCTCAAGGTATGGACCATTATAAACTGGGCCACCAGGTGCAGATGGACGATAAGACGGCTTGTAAGTGTTCTCATAACCTACTTTACGTGGCGGGCCGCCAAAAGAGTTCAACGACGACGGTGGTGGTGGTGGCGGACGGCCATTGAAGTGACCAGGAGGCGGCATAGGTCTAGCTGGGCCGTATGGGCCGCCACCAAACGAACTGGGTGGTGGACCTTGTGCGTAAATTGTCGAGTAGTAAGGCCGTTTCTCTTCAACATCACAACTCATCAAACCGAGACCGCAAAGCTTATCACGTATAAGATTGCGTGCTTGCATATCATCGCCTTGTTGAAGCGCCTGATCGATATTGCCATCAGCGTATACTTGATCGTAGTCGGATAGTATACGTCCTTCGCGCCGGGAATTGATAATCTGATCGATTACGGCGTTTATATCCACATTAGTGTCATTGCTGTAAATCGATTCATGTACACCGTAATTACGACCTTGCACCTCTACAGGCTGTACCGCTGCGCCATCTGTTTTTGCATCCTCCGTCGAGCGTCTGCTCAGCATTGACTCCTTCGAAGGCTCCCAACCGCCACTCCATGCGGCGTCTTGTGCGTAAATAAACGGGCAGCCAGCTAAGAGTATTGCGGCCGTAAGAGCCAAGTGAAGTTTTAATCTCATCATGAAGGCGTCTGAGCTGTAAGAGGGAAGACAATAATATATATATGTATGTAAGTGATTTGTGATTGCTGCGGACTGCAATATGAGGTAATAGTTTAAATGTTTCACAAGTTCAATGTATATTTTTCCACTCATTTTAAGCTCGCTCGTTTGCGCAGTGTTAATTAACCTAAATATTAATGATGGCGCTAGACAGATTTGTGGTCATTGTGCCACTTTTGGGCCATCGCTTGCGCATTCGTAAAAATCAACAATAAATATTGTTCAGCAATTTCGGCAATTGCCAGTAACCGGTTTGTACGACCTCTTGTATTCACTCTCGCTAAGAGCAATGCCGGCGCGAATGGAGAGCACGCAGCGCTGAGCAGGCAGTGAGTCATGCTTGAGGTAACATGGGCTTGAGCGCGCGAAAGACTTTTACTTTCGTTTTAAGGTCGTTAGCTTGAAATGGAAAAAGCAACAAAAAAAGAAAGAAAACAATAATAATAACAACAACAAGAAAACTAACAATCACCAGCAAGCAATTGGTGTGTGATGTTGCAAGTCGTAAAAGTGGTGTGCGGATGTACATATGTAGATATATATAATACATATGGTACTCCAGGTGTGAAGGCGCTTTTGCATATTTTATTTGTTTATCTGGTTTCTGTTTGTCTTGTAGCTTAACCTCGAAGGCGGTGGAAGCGTTTTATACTCTCAAGCCGAAGCTGATGTAAGCAATTAGGTTTGATGCGGGAAGTTGTATTTCAATTTAGTGTTTTTTCTTCCCAAAAAAAGCGGGCATTTTTGCAAGGCACACAAATATACACACACACACACACAGAAACACTGACAAACAATAGCGGTTACGTGTGATTTTTGGATTAACTCCTTAAATGCAACATAGTGTGACGAGCGCTACATGCGTCAGAGCAAAAGCTGTTGTAGCAATTGCGAAATGAGTGCTGAGTTGAGCTCGTTAAGTTGAGGAAATGGATGTCTCATAGGGGAGAAGTCGTGACTCTTTAACTGGGCTTGTCGCTGTTGCTTTTGCTGTTCCATTGGTGTAAGACCTTTTTCTGTGTTTTACTTGAACGCGCCGGAGACCTGGATGACTTGTGTTGCCTGACAGTTTTAGTTTTTTGTTTTTATTTATTTTTTTTTTATTTTTTTTTATTTTTTTTATTTCGGAGCTGTTATGCAATCGGTGTTGTATATTTTGTTTGTGGGGGTTCAAGGTACTGTTTGCATGAAAATATACTACACATTTAACAGCTACCAGTACGACGGTCTGTGATTTGGTTTTCGGCTCAGTTGGCTTTGTTGGCCGCGTGTGGGTTGAAGTTGATTTTTGGTGCGCGAAACCTTACGGATGCGGGCAGAAAACGTTACATCAACGTACATATGTATGTGTGCTACGTATTTCTCTACATACGTATATATGTGCATAGGTATGGATGTATGCATATAAATGAGAAATTGTATTTTTTAGCATAATTTTAATAGTTCATTGTCTGTAGATTTTTATTTTTTATTTTCCATTTTTAATTGCAAAACTTTTTTCATTTTACTTTTTCTTTATTATGCAATCACATCCGACTTATTTACATAAATAAATATGTACATACATACATACACACATATGTATGTAAGTGCATTACATGCATAACGGCTTATTTCGCAAAATTAACATTATTTGGGGGGGAGGGGGGATATTTTAATGAGCTGTAGATCTGGTGAGTGATCGTTATGGCTCGAAATTTTTCCTCTTTTTTGTAATAGTATGTTTGTACATGTGTGCAATGTTGCATTTTACCGTCAGTGCGGTAGAGATATTAGTGAAATTTAAACTTTCAGATTTTTAAGTTTTTTTTTTTGATAAAAAAAAATCAGTAAGAAATTAACGTCTGGTAGCCGACTTAATGGAGGGAACCTTTTTCCAGCCTGCTGAATGTCAGTGAAAGTGCCACACTCGCAGATGGTGTAGCCGCAAGCCCAATCAGTTGGATCATATGATGATGAAAAGACGTTCCATTATCCGACTGTAAAGAGGTTCGAATGGCGATTGCCTTTTTAAAGAACAACAAAGCGGCTGGAGCTAATGGCTTACGGGCAAAGCTATTCAAACATGGTGGTGAAAAGCTGACAAGATGCGAGCTGAGATGGTCGGATGAGTACATGACTGACTATTGTTTCTACAAATTATCGTGAAATAAGCCTTCTGGGTATCGCATATTAGGTCTTATCGAGCACACTGAGCATATTTACCATGCCCCAAATTTTGGATAAGACTCAACGTCTCAACATCGTCTATTTTAAAGCAGAATTCGATAGCATGAATAGGTGATGATGGTCCATGCCAGTAAGTCTGAATTTGGTATCCCTGCGACTCTTTTGCGACTGAGTAGTACTAAAAGCTCCATCATAATCGAGCAGGATTTAACCGAGGTGTTCGATACTGAGCAAGGTTTTCGACAAGGCGGCTCTCTGTCGTGTAATTTTTTCAATCTAATCTATGAACGAGCTGAAAAGACTATATTGATTTATGTATCCGTCCGGGCTTAGAACCAAGTTGTTACTTCCGCTTTCACCGCACTGTATATGGAGCTAGGCAAAAAGTTCTGGTGGTCAATGAGCACAAGACGTAATAGCTCCAGTTATGAACAGTCAGCGCATTCGCAGTTTTGCTACATGGCATGCCATTCAAATGAGTCGGTGCTAGGATTTTCAAGCATAAAATTTTGTGAACACTTAATGGATCTTTACGCTTTGGCAACGGCGAAGACCACAAATGGTGGAACGATGGGCTGTACGAGATATACGGCGACATTGGCATAGCTTTGCGAATTAAGAGACAGTGGTTAAGCTGGCTAGGCATTTCATCCATATGTGTGACGCCATTATATTAACCCAACTATAGTAAATATTAAATATAATTATTTTTTATTTTTGGTGATCGCGATAGCCGAGTCGGAAAGCCAGCAGTTCCGGTTCCACCAACACCAACAATCACAATGATGGAAAATTAATTTTTCGTAGTGTGGTCGCCCCTCGGCAGGTAGTGCCAAGTCCTTCGAGTGTATTTGTGAAAACAAAATTAAAAAAAAAAGAATCCATCTCATTAAAATCAAACGGTCGTTCGGAGGCGGCTTAGTATAAACTGTAGGTCCCTCCATTTGTTGAAAAAATGTACAAGCTGTGTTTAAAAAACGCTAAGAATATGACTATATGCATACAATAACTAACAACTATTAAATGAAACCTGGTTTTCAAAACTCTTATTTCTCTTCTTCTTCTTTTTTTTTTTGAAAAGTGCTGAAATTTTCATTAATAAATTTTTTAAAAATATTTTTAAAATCTTCACCGGCTCCCTCCATGTATCATCATAATTTCGAATCACCTATACATACATATAATATTCATATGTATGTAATATATATACAGATCTTAAAAATTTGCTTTGATTATTTCAATGACATTCAGCCGAATAAGGTAAAAACTTTTTTCGATATCGAATTGTGACATCTGCAACAATAAATTTCATAATTATGCCATTTTGGCAACAAAAAAAAAAACAAAAAAAAAAATTAAATAAAAAAAAACTTAAAAGTGATTTTCGCGTTTCATTCATTTTTCAGTTCAATAAACCTATACTACAGTGATTGTTGTTGTAGTTGTTTGTATTTTAATTTCCTCAGTTGGCCTTTCATTTATCCTACGATCGATCATCATGCATAGCACAAAATTATGCGCATAATTTTCGCATTTCACACGCGCTTGGAAATCATTTTTATTTTTAATATTTTTTCCAATTCGGAACCAATCTTCATGCAACGTATGTGTGATTATGAATTCAATGGCGACTACGAGTTGCACGCAATTTCACTTGCACTGCCAGACAGTTGTTGTTGTTGTTGTTGTTTTTTAATTTTAATTTTAATCCGATTTTATTGAAAAACATTATTTTGTAATGGAAAAATAATTTATAATTATTTCCTTTCTTTCTTTTTATTTCTCCAGTATTTTTTTTGAGAAATCAACAAAAAAAAAGAGGAAAATTGTGCACAAATAATGAACTCAGTCAATTTTTAGTTTTTAATTTGGCGCATTCATGTTTTCGTGCGCCTTTTACGCATTTTCCACATAATTGCAACACCTTTTACCTTCACTCTTGACACAATTAAAGTTTTTTTTTTTTACCAAAACTCCATTCACACGCTTCACAAATTTCATTGTTCCTTATTTGCGTCAATTTTTTACGGCCAAAACTCACCTCTTTGCTTGCTTCGCCTGAATTTCGGTTTTAAAACTAAAATAAATATCACTTAACCCGCGCACACGTTCAATTTACACCGTTATTTTTGTCCTTATGTAATAGTTCACAAATTAAAGAAGAAAAATGGTAATCCTTTGCGTCTTTTCCTCCTTTGCTGATCGCGCTCTGCTGATGTTGGCTGCTTGACTGATTTCGTTTTGGACCTCACACAACATTTTATACCACCACCGCCCGGTCGCCGTTGGGCAGAGAGTAGTAGTAGAGACGGCAAGCCAAGCCGGCGAATGCAGTGAGTAAAGCTACGAAGGCATGAAAACGGAAAAAATTAAAAAAAAAAAAAACAACTTTAAAGCGTTTAAACGTAGGTAAACCGCCTTTAACCAACACAAACAAACACGCAAACGCAATGTCAATGGGTTTAACGAAATCTCCGCATACGAGTACAATGCGAAGTAGTCAAAAATTTAGTTTTTGCAAAATTCAGTTAAGCCCTTAACAATTGTACGCTTGTGTCTGGTAAACATTGCATTTTAGCGCTTTGACAGACGTACACACGGTTCTCTTTAACCGGTGACGTCATGAGGAGTCTCTAAGTGTATTTGGCGATTTGTATCGAGGTCTTTGATTGGCAAGTTTTCGGTAGCTCCTATGTATGATTTATTCGAATACTTAAAGGTCATTATTATCACACTTCGCTAAATGCTGAATACATATGAGTTTCGGGTTTTTTCGCATTTTCGACTATTTATTTTTGAACAAAATTTTCGATGATTAGCTGGACTTACAAAAAAAAAAAAAACAAAAAAATAATAATAATAATAATTTCGTAGAACTCATACATTTGTAGTTTTGAATTTAATTATAACTGAAAATTTCCTGGTTCAAGAGAGCGGCTGCAATGCTTGAGCATGACGAACTTGAAGAGAAGACCCATAGAGAAAATGCTTGAAAATTCGACGAAAGAATCAGGCGTTTTTCTTTTTCTTGTATGGGATGTCTCAAAATTAACGCAAGATTGGAATTGAAAAAAATTAAATAAAGTCCATAGGAGGAGTATTTATGGCTTAACAAAAGGCAACGTTGTAGACCCTCCTATGAAGTAAGCCTGGTAATGAGCTTGTTGCAATAGACCTGTGATTTTGAATAATAGAAATAAATCGAGTGGTACGAAATCTCACGATTTAGGAGGCCAGTTCTGATCACCAAGAAAAGAGAGAGAGGGTACACAATCAGGAAATGTCTCATTCAGTAATTCAAGTGCTTGATAGGTTGTAAAGTGGTAAACAAGTGGCACCGTCTTGTTGACCACACCAATATAATCCAATTTCGGCACAAGGAACTGGATTATTATGTCATGGTATCGAGCGCCAGTAATAGGCATTGCTTGACCAGCATCATTTTCAAAAAAGTATCGTCCAATTAAGCATCCATGAACTTTTGAAAATCCAATGAAAATGGTTCCAGGATCTTGGCATTCTTAGGATTTCAAATTTCGACAGTTTGGAAGAGAAACTCTCTTATTTTGAGGTATCTTTTGAACCCATATACTCGTAGTTCTTGATTTTTCTCCGAAGCTAATATTATTACCAAGAACATATCCCCAATTGAAACTAATCGTTTCAGAAAATCTTGAAAAAATAAACTATTTCTGGTTTCTTAACTGTAGTTGAAATGAAATACCTGGAGATCGTGAGCCCGAAGCCCCAATCAATATCTTAAAGATTAATAAAGCGATGGAAGCCGAAGGCTCACCGGATTAGCTATTTAAGCATGGCGTCGAGAAATCAACAAGGTGTATGCCTCCACCTCTTTAAAAATAATCCCCCGCAATCTGCACCAAATATTGTGGGTTAATGCTCCAGAATTTCATATATAAAGCATATTGTGTGTGAGATTCAATCCCAGGGCCAACGAGCTGATTAGACAATGTGACTTTAGATTTGGTTAAGGTGAGAAAGTCTGGAAAAGATCCGTTTGAAAAAAATCGTTTCACATTAGATTTTCGTAGGTTTTAAAGCTGCTTTTGACAGAATGAAAAGTAGTCGTCTTTGTTTGAGTCTTGTAGGCCCCGAAATCTAAGCAAACTGACGCTAAGAAGCATCAAAAGCTCTGTAAGAGTGTGAAAAAAAAATTGAATACCTTGGCAGCTTTTGTGCCCACCAAAAGTCGCTCAGCTCATAACTCTCCTCCCAGAGGGGTGTCGGCAATAGACTTAGAGTTAGTTGCTAGGTCTCAAGAAACTTTTGTACTTGTAAATGATTTTTTTAAAGTTTGAACAAACTATCGACAGCAGCAAGAAGGACGACGGTAAGCGCAAAACATTTTTCGGTAATCGTGTGTAATCAGTGATCTCAGTGAGACTGTGTTGTGATCGTCGACCTTGTCTTGCGTATGCCCGCTAACATTTGAATTGATTCGTGACATAGTGGAATGATGTTTGATCTCTTACGAATCTCAGTTTTGTTTACATGACAATCAGAGAAGATCTAGCATTCTGGGCTGTCAGTTAGATCTCCTTTCAAGAAATTTTACTCGTCCCGTACAACGGCGGATCGATAATGATTTAGGGTGTAGTTTCGCAATTTTGTCGGACCCAACGAGTTCACCGACTTTTGTGTATATCGTAACAGTTGGAATTCGATAAAATTTGATATATATAATTTTAATGGTCTAATATGAACATAAAATAAATATAGACGCGATCGGACTTTCTACTTTTCGCTACCCAATTGTCTCAAGTTCGAACATTTAAGGCATTAACTAACTAACAGAAGCTGCTTTTATTGGGGCCTGAAGTCCCGAAAAATGGCTGTGATAAGTCCAGAAATAGACCTGCCTCCAAAACAAAAGTCTTTTTATTTTTGACCGAACTATGTTTCGCTGAGAAGAAACGCTCACGAATTGGCAAGATAAAAATAATTTTCATAGTTTTCTGTTAGTCTGGAGCCCATGTGGGTCTCGACAGTCATGAAGTGAGTAGTGTGTGAATGACTACGTCTTTTATGGCCATACAAGTGTAAAAATATGACTAATTACCTCATTACTTATGACATTTGATGTCTGTGAATATTATTTATATATATAACGATTTATATTGTTACTCTTCTTCTTATTTCTCCAACTTGAACTTGGTGCATTTGCACCTGCGCAGCTGTTATAATTTGGTATTATATAATGAAAACAAACCGTCGTCATCATGTTGTAATTTTGTTTTATGACTCCCCCTTTCTTTGACGTTTACAAGCATTGCTTATTTTGTTATCCCAGTTGGTAACTATTCAGTTTGTTTTGGCCGAAAGTGAGGGATGTTAAGAAAGATACAAATCAAAATATGACTAAGTTAAGTTATTACCACACATACACACAACACGTACGTACGATTATGTTGCCGCAGTTTGAAGAAGATGTGCGAGAAATGACAGATATTGCGGCCACAATAACAAAAATTTGTGAAATTTCGAAACAGCGACGATTTGATGCAATAAGCGACTGGGTTAAATTGACCAAAATGACCAAAATGAAAACTAAATTTGGAGCGTTGAAAATTTAGTTGATTACAATATTCAGCGGGTAAGCTACAATCAGTGATGAGTTACACACCTCAATGTAAATGTGAAAAATTTAGAAAAATACATTTTATGCCTCATTCGAAAATTAAGACTTTCTTTAGTACGCTTGGAAATTTTTCCGCTTTTTCAAATACTTTCCGAACTGAATATAATGTCATAATTAGATTAATATAATGCAATTTTAAAATCTTCAAAAAAAGAAATAAAATAAAATAAGAATATAGGAAAATTATGATACAGAAAATAAAGGGATATCTAAGGTTGTGAGCCTTTCTAGAGAACATTTTCAAATATATTGGCCAACATCTAGAGGAGATGTAAGATTGAGGAAGAATCTAAAGCCCATAAATCTTAAATTTCATTATTTGTACACATGTTCGAAACTAAACTCCAATTAAATATAAGGTTGTCAAATATCTCCCTTCCGCTTTTTTGCTCTTCATTCAATGCTTTATAAAAAGTGTTACAGAAATCGGATTTAGTTAAAATATGCGCCGTTTTGTTCGATGATCTGTTTCCATCTAGACGGCAACTTCATAATACCTTCCTCGAATTCGGACAGCCACTTTTCACAAGCCTCTTTTGAGTTCAACTTCACACCACCAAGGGCATTCGCCATGGACAGGAACAGGTGGTAATCACTTGGCGCTACGTCCGGGCTATATGGTGGATGCGATAAAACCTCCCATCCGAGCTCCCGTAGCTCCTGACGAGTCATCAACGAAGTGTGTGGTCTGGCGTTGTCCTGGTGGAACACTACACCCTTCCTGTTGGCCAATTCTGGACGCTTCTGGTCGATCGCCTGCTTCAAGCGGTCCAGTTGTTCGCAGTAGATGGTAGAATTAAGGGTCTGGCCATATGGGAGCAGCTCATAGTGGATGATTCCCTTCCAATCCCACCAAACACACAGCAAAACCTTCCTGGCCGTCAATCCCGGCTTGGCCACGACATCCATAAAAAGATGCTTGACGGTGAACGCCAGTTCGGCGTTTTGGATTATTGAAAATCAAAAACCATGGTGAATTCTTTTAAATAAAAGATTATTAAATGGTTTTGTACGAAGGAATAATTAATGCTTGGATTTTTAGTGAAATGGGATTTATTTGAAAAAAAAAGTCATAAAGTTTTTAAATCGTATTCCTTGGTTCAATATATAAGAAACGGTGTATCTAGAAGGTTGTGTAAACATTCGATATCGAGAAATCAAGATCGCCGAATACCTTTAATGGTTCAGAAGTGGTATTTAAATTTAAATTAGAATTGAGCAAACCCAGGAAGAAGAATTGAAATGCCAGGATTCGACACCTGGTTCGACCAATGTCCAAAATTATAGAAAAATAAATTTTTATATTTGCTGTTGCCTCTTGGCAGGGGATTTCAAGCCTTCAGACGGAGCTCAGCTGAAAGTCGCTACAATACTCAAGACAGTCCCTGTGGTGTATTAGATAATTTACATTTTTATCGGGAGATCGCTCGGACCCCTGACACGTAGTAATATCAACGAATACTGTTATTTCGGCTATTGTGCACGATTATATCTAAAATATATTTAACAACCGTTTTCGTAAATGGTAAAGTTTAAAAAAAATTATAATGCCGTTAAA